CAACAGCAATATTTGGTTGTATTCGACCACGAACATATATAACCGAGGAAACAAAACCAAGCGTCGTTACGTTGATGGGTAAACTATTTTAGTAATTGACAAATGTCTAAAAAAGTTCAGGGGAAAAATTTAATAAATAAGTGACCAATATTCAATAAGAATTCGGAAAAAAAAGAAGTGTGGGCAGCATGACTAGATGCTGAATTACTCTGTTTGGTGGAGAGTCGAAACCCGTGACAACCTTCTCTCTGTGTCGCAGCTTTTTTAGGTTTTACGTCTCATTTTGAGATTTTTCTTTTAATGTATAACTAAATATTTGTTGGGTCCAAGCCTGCGGTCCAAACGGTTTACGATCCGGCGGTCAGTCGTCTGAGAACAATAGAAGCCCAACTCAAACAGTAACCGCGGTCTGTTTAAGCCTGAGTCAGATTCGGTAACTACGGTTAATAAAACCTAGTATGTACCTTCAAAACCTTGTACTATACATAGGGGAATAAGCTGATGTGACTAATCATCTTCCATTCTCTGAGGAAAAGTACAAGGGACTCAGAGCATAACCGTTCAAGTCTCTAACTCCGACAGAAAACTCACTGGAAGGCCACCGCCGACCGGGAAACACCGCAAACACTCACATTACATACTAGCTCGCAGCGAACAAATAGTCCGGGATCTGTCCGGTCTACTACTCTCTTTCTAGTCTATAGTAATCAGGTCGACCGGGATCTGTCCGGACTATCTATAGCGGTCTTCTTTGTAACACTCATTTCGGGCTCAACTTCTAATACACGAAACCCTCCGACCTCCTATCTAGTATAAATTCATTGTTCGATCTTTGGGTTAAACAATTGGTGTGCTAGGTGGGGGAATTGGAAATTTTCTAACGCAAGAAAACATGAGTCCGGATGCATCAACCAGCCAGCAAGTCAACGAGGCAATAACTCTAGAGACCGCCGAAGCAACTCAGGCAACCTCTATCGCCACAACCACGATAGATACGGTCAGCCCTCCAGTGACCGCCAATGAGGAAACAAGAGTAACCGCGTCTGACCCTTCACCCAGCGAGCCCGCGCTCGTTACTAACGAACAAGTCAACTTCGCGGGCGTGCTTAGTATGCTCATGAGGCATTTTGACCGACAGGATGACCAGTTCAGAAGAACAAGCACCCGCTTCGACGCTCTATCAAACGCACAGACCGCAATCCAGGAACAGCTGGATTCCACTTGGCCAATCGCGTCGCAGCTCCGAACGAACTCATCTGAAGTAGAGCGACATGGCCGACCTTCGCCCAACATCGGACTATCAATCTAAACACTCCCACCAGAACTCCGATCAGTACACAGGTCGCTCGGCCACCTCATTCGAGAGAACATGATTCTTTTGAAGGTCAGGAAATAGAGACATTGAAAACTCG